CTTTGTCAAATGCCTTTTCTGCATCTATTGAGAGGATCATATGATTCATGTTCTTTCTTTTCTTAATGTATTGTATCACGTTGATTGATTTGCGGATGTTGAGCCAACCTTGCAGCCCAGGGATAAATCCCACTTGGTCGTGGTGAATAATCATTTTAATGTACTGTTGGATCATACTGGCTAGTATTTTGGTGAGAAGTTTTGCATCCATGTTCATCAAGGATAATGGTCTGTAATTCTCCTTTTTGATGGGGTCTTTGGTTTGGGGATCAAGGTAATGGTGGCCTCATTAAATGAGTTTGGAAATTTTCCTTCCATTTCTATTTTTTGGAACAGATTCAGGAGAATAAGTATTAATTCTTTAAATGTTTGGTACAGTTCCCCTGGGAAGCCATCTGGCCCTGGGCTTTTGTTTTTTTGGGAGATTTTTGATGTCTGTTTCAATTTCCTTAGTGGTTATAGGTCTGTTCAGGTTTTCTATTTCTATTTCTTCCTGGTAGTTGATACATCTCTGGGAATGCATCCATTTCTTCCAGGTTATCTAATTTGCTGGCATAGAGTTGCTCATAATATGTTCTTATAATTGTATTTCTTTTGTGTTGGTTGTGATTTCTCCTCTTTCATTCATGATTTTGTTGATTTGGGTCATTTCTCTTTTCTTTTTGATCAGTCTGGCCAGGGGTTTATTAATCTTGTTAATTCTTTCAAAGAACCAGCTCCTAGTTTCATTGATCTGTTCTACTGTTCTTTTGGTTTCTAGTTCATTGATTTCTGCTCTGATCTTTATTATTTCTCTTCTCCTGCTGGGTTTAGGCTTTATTTGCTGTTCTTTCTCCAGCTCCTTTAGGTGTAGGGTTAGGTTGTATATTTGAGACCTTTCTAGTTTCTTCAGAAAGGCTTGTATTGCTATATACTTTCCTCTGAGGACTGCCTTTGCTGCATCCCAAAGATTTTGAACAGTTGTGTTTTCATTTTCATTGGTTTCCATGAATTTTTTTAATTCTTCTTTAATTTCCTGGTTGACCCATTCATTCTTTAGTAGGATGCTCTTTAGCCTCCATGTATTTGAGTTCTTTCCGACTTTCCTCCTGTGATTGAGTTCTAGTTTCAAAGCATTGTGGTCTGAAAATATGCAGGGAATGATCCCAATCTTTTGGTACCAGTTGAGACCTGATTTGTGACCTAGGATGTTATCTATTCTGGAGAGTGTTCCATGGGCACTAGAGAAGAATGTGTATTCCGTTGCTTTGGGATGGAATGTTCTGAATATGTCTGTAAAGTCCATTTGGTCCAGTGTGTCATTTAAAGTCTTTATTTCTTTGTTGATCTTTCGCTTAAATGATCTGTCCATTTCAGTCAGGGTGGTGTTAAAGTCCCCCACTATTATTGTATTGTTGTCAATGTGTTTCTTTGCTTTTGTTATTAATTGCCTTATATAATTGGCTGCTCCCATGTTAGGGGCATAGATATTTACAATTGTTAGATCTTCTTGTTGCATAGACCCTTTAAGTAGGATATAGTGTCGTTCCTCATCTCTTATTACAGTCTTTGGTTTAAAATCTAATTTGTCTGATATAAGGATTGCCACCCCAGCTTTATTTTGGTGTCCATTATCATGGTACATTGTTTTCTACCCCTTCACTTTCAATCTGGGGGTGTCTTTGGGTCTAAAATGAGTCTCTTGCAGACAGCATATCGATGGGTCTTGTTTTTTTATCCAATCTGATACCCTTTGTCTTTTGATTGGGGCATTTAGCCCATTGACATTCAGGGTAACTATTGAAAGATATGAATTTAGTGCCATTGTATTGCCTGTAAGGTGACTGTTACTGTATGTTGTCTGTGTTCCTTTCTGGTCTTTGTTGCTTTTGGGCGCTCTCTTTGCTTAGAGGACCCCTTTCAATATTTCTTGGAGGGCTGGTTTCGTGTTTGCAAATTCCTTTAGTTTTTGTTTGTCCTGGAAGCTTTTTACCTCTCCTTCTATTTTCAGTGACAGCCTAGCTGGATATAGTATTCTTGGCTGCAGATTTTTCTCGTTTAGTGCTCTGAAGATATCTTGCCAGTCCTTTCTGGCCTGCCAGGTCTCTGTGGATAGGTCTGTTGCCAGTCTAATGTTTCTACCATTGTATGTTACATATCTCTTCTCCCGAGCTGCTTTCAGGATTTTCTCTTTGTCTCTGAGACTCGTAAGTTTTATTATTAGATGTCGGGGTGTTGACCTATTTTTATTGATTTTGAGAGGGGTTCTCTGTGCCTCCTGGATTTTGATGCCTGTTTCCTTCCTCACATCAGGGAAGTTTTCTGCTATAATTTGCTCCAATATACCTTCTGCCCCTCTCTCTCTCTCTTCTTCTTCTGGGATCCCAATTATTCTAATGTTGTTTCGTCTTATCGTATCACTTATCTCTCGAATTCTGCCCTCGTGATCCTGTAGTTGTTTCTCTCTCTTTTTCTCAGCCTCTTTATTTTTCCATCATTTGGTCTTCTATATCACTGATTCTCTCTTCTGCCTCATTTATCCTAGCAGTTCGTGCCCCCATTTTTTATTGCACCTCATCAATAGCCTTTTTGATTTCGACTTGGTTAGATTTTAGTTCTTTTATTTCTCCAGAAAGGGTTTCTCTAATAACTTCCACACTTTTTTCAAGCCCAGCTAGAATCTTTAAAGTCATGATTCTGAACTCTAGGTCCGACATCGTACTAATGTCCGTATTGAGTAGGTCCCTGGCTGACGGTACTACCTCTTGTTCTTTTTGCTGAGCTGATTTTTTTCGTCTTGTCATTTTGTCCAGAGGAGAATAGATGAAAGAGAGAACAGAATGCTAACAGGTTAACCGTCCCCAGCAAATATACTGTATACAAATCAGAAAAGACCTGAAACCAGGGGAAAAGAAAGGGAAAGAAAGAAAAAAGAGAGGAAAAAAAAAAAGAAAAAGATAAAAACAGAACAAAACAAAGAAAAACAGAATATGATCAAATATGATCAGGCTGGTACATAGATCAGTGCCACACATTAGCTTTTGGGCGTATTTTGGTCTGTTAGAAGAAAGTGCCTCCTAAAATTTTAAAGAAAGAAAAACTTATATATGTACAAAATAAGGGTTGATATGATGAAGGGATGGCATATGACCTAAAGATGGAAATTATAAAAGATTTTATAAAAGGAATTGATAAGATAAGAGGTTGTTTGAAAAAAGAAAGAAGAGGATTTAAAAAAAAGAAAGAAAGAAAAAAAGGGGAGAGAATGTGATCAGGCAGGAGACAAGAACAGAGCCATATACTAGTGATTTAGGGTATATTTTGATCTGTTAGACGAAACTGTATCTCAAAATTTTAAAGAGAGAACAACTTATATATATATATATGCCAAAAATAAGGGTAACTGTGAAGGGATAGAATATGACTCTAAAAATGAAAAATAAAAATGTTTTTTTAAAAAAGGAATTGATGGGGCGCCTGGGTGGCTCAGTTGGTTAAGTGACCCCCTTCGGCTCAGGTCATGATCCCGGGGTCCTGGGATCGAGCCCCGCATCGGGCTCCCTGCTCAGCGGGAAGCCTGCTTCTCCCTCTCCCACTCTCCCTGCTTGTGTTCCCTCTCTCTCTGTCAATTAAATAAATAATAAATAAATAAATAAATAAAATAAAAAATAAATAAAAAAGGGATTAATAAGATGTTGGCTGAAGAAGGGAAAAAAAAGACAGTTAAAAAAATTAACTTTGAAAGACTAAAGAATCATGGGGAAAAAGCCCTGAATTCTATGTGCAGTATTCCCCTAGCGCTGGAGTTCTCCCGTTCTCCTTGATTGGTAAACTTGGTCTTGGCTTGCTGGCTGTTCGTGCTGATCTTCTGGGGGAGGGGCCTGTTGCTGTGGTTTCCAAATGTCTTTGCCAGAGGCTGAATTGCCCCGCCCTTGTCGGTCCGGGCTAAGCAAGCTGCTCCGGTTTGCTCTCAGGAGCTTTTGTTCCCTGCAAGCTCTCGGTACAGCTTTGGAGGACCAGGGTGAAAATGATGGCCTCCCAATCTCTGCCCGGAGGAGCCGAGAACATGGGTTCCCGCTCCTCAGTGCGCCCCCAGAGAAAAGCAGTCAGTCTCTCCCGTGTTCCCGGTCTCCGGCCGCACTTCGTGCTCACCCGGCCTGTGACCGAGCGTTTCTATCTCTGGCACCCGACCCCGTGTGGAGTCTCCAAACCCAGCGGATCCCTGCAGTGCGTTCCTGCGCCGCTCCTCCCCGGGAAGGAAGGGGAGTCTCCCTGGCTCTGCCGCTTGTTGGGTCCCTGCTGGAGGCGCAGTGGCCCGACTGGGCCGCGGATCACAGTTGATGGCCACCCCGAGCTGAGAGCCCGCACCTCGGCTCTGTCTCTGCAGCCGGCTTCCCCGCTCCGATCCCTGGGAGCTCTGCCGCACTCAGGCACCCCCGGTCTCTCTGTGACCCCGAGGGTCCTGAGACCACACTGTCCCGCGAGGGTTCCACCCCCCGCTTAGCCACTGGAGCGACGTCCCTCAGCGGAGCCGGCTTCTAAAAGGTCCGATTTTGTGCTCCGCGGCTCTATCACTTGCCAGAAGCGGCCGACGGAGGCCCCTCCCCCGCCGTCTATCCTCCCGAATATCGCCTCAGATTCACTTCTCCGCACGTCCTACCTTCCAGTAAGTGGTCGCTTCTCTGTTCAGAGAGTTGTGCTACTCTCCTCTTCGATCTCCTGTTGAGTTCGTAGGTGTTCAGATGGTTTGATCCCTATTCAGCTGAATTCCTGGGACCAGACGAAATCCAGGTCTCCTGCTCCTCCGCCATCTTGCTCCCGTGGACAGGAGAATTTTCTTCATAAGTCACTTACAGCCAAATCCTCACCTCACGATCTGCTTCTGGGAAACCAGACAAAGATACCTGGTGCTATAGACTGAATGTTTGTGTCTCCTTCCCCAAGTTCCTCCACTGAAATTCGAGGCTCTATTTCTTACACGTCAGCATCGCCATCGAGATTTTTTCTTGGCTGTGTTGGGAACATTCAACTTTTTTGCCATGTCCAAGATTCTGTAAGACATCGTTTCTGCGGTGGAACTTTGTTCTGCTCTTGTTTCACACGTGGGGTCTGAAACCTCTGCCTCTGGCACCAGACTCCGGCCTGGATGACGGGACCTCCCCTCAGAGGTGGCAGGAGGCACCTGACTGGCGGGGCTGGCACTCGTGCCCATGCCCAGCACCCTCCTCCACCTCACTGCCTGCCTCCCAGCCGTGTTGCCCTCCTCCGGGAGCTCTGGGGGTGGAGGCCGGAGGCCGTGTGTTCCTGGCGGGAGCTCCCGTTGGTATGCGCGCAGGCACGGGCTGCAGATGTTAGCGACCCGACCACCTCACTGTGACTCCCGTGCCCTCCGAGTTGGGTGGCGACATCGTGCCACCTTCTGTGGCTGACCGGGATTCTCGGGGTGGGGGGTTAGGAGGAGCCCCCAGCAGTAGGACCCAGCATTCCCATGTGACACCCCCCACGCTGTCCCAAAGCTGCCTCTCTCACCTGTGTGCTTGTGTTCTCAGACGCCCCCCCTTTCCGCTCGCAGACCTGAGCAGGGACTGCTTCTCTGGGCAGGTGGCTGACCTTTCCCAGGAGGGCGCCCTGCCGCAGCTCAAGTGTGGAGCGTGTGGTGTGCACTTTCAGCAACGTCTCTGTTCAGGACACACCGATTCTGTTGCTGAAAGGAGTCAGAGGTGCAGGTTCCACACCTGATTGTCTTGGTGGCCCATGCCGGGCTTGAGGGTCGTCTCTCACGCTGTCCTAGCACCTGAGATGCCACTCCTGTGGTCCTTCCACGTCTCCATCCTGTGCCTTCAGCCTGAGCAGAGCTGGACAGGGGCAGCCCGGAGCCTGCTGGTTCATCAGCTGCTGACCAGGGCCGCGGTACCGTCCAGGGGTACCGTTAGCCTCCCATGTGCAGGGCAGACACCGCCTGGTGCACAGGCTTGTGTGTGAGGGACAGCTCAGGGCTAGGTGGTGCATGGGGGGCATGCGGGCTCAGAAAGCACGGAACGGGTTCACTGACAGATGATCCTCTGTAAGCTTGCTAAGCGAGGTTATCGTGACAGCCTGCACCAGGCATCTCCTTCAGTTGCCCAAGAGTGCAATAAAAATGAAGATGTGAATGTCAGTCTGGCTTAGAGAGGAGATAAATACGGCTTTTTCCAGATGACATTGTTTTTCTGATTTCTGTGCTCATGCTGCTTTGTGCTTGGTCAAGGTAACACTTCCTGAGACACGGCCACGCACAGCGAAGGTGACATTGCTTTCTCCTTCCCCAGGTGATCTTAGACCTGCTTCCGTATGAGAACATTGTGGTGAAGAGAGTGCTGAATACGGATAAAGGCTTCCTGGAGAAACTCGGTGTTTCTTCCATTCCTTCCTGTTACTTGATTTACCCAAATGGGACACGTGGATTAATTAACATGTAAGTGTGATTTGGCTTCAGGAGTGCTTGCAACACCTGGTGGGATCTGAGGAACCCCTCCAAGTGTGAGAGCCTCCTCTGGGCTAGATGCCATGCACCTCTTCACGGTTAAGACCGCAGAACCCACCTGGATGCCGTCCGCATCCACTGAATGCCACTAAAAAGTGAACAGCCTGAAGCATGGTTGGGAAGGGCCACAGGGGAGAAGGCGAGACGGGGTCCTGAGGCCCGTGGGGTCTGCCATGGCCCCAGCCTCCAGTGGGAGCAGAAGGCCTGCCTGCCCCGGGGGGGCGCCCACCCAGCCCGCCCGCCTGTAGGTGCCCGTGTAGCCGGTGATGACTTGGCCGCTCTTGGCGAGTCTCTGTGTGCTGGGACACAGCCCAGCCAGGATGCGCTTCGTCCATCCCCAGGCTCCTGGCTCAGCTGGGAAGTGGCCTCCCCAGAACCTCAGACACACCCCCCAGTCCCTTGGGTATGTTTCTCTTCTTAAGAAGCAGAAGTCAGGGTAGGCTCGACAACCTCTGCGGATTGGGTCACTCATGCTCTGTGAGCGAGCTCATTAGGGCCTGCACCCCTGGGGCTCCGGCCAGTGTCACGTCACAGCAGGTGTTACCCTCGATGGAGTGTCCCTGAACAAAATGCCACTTGTTCTGAAGAAAAATTCTTGTTTTATATTAAAAGCGTCATCTGTAGCACGTCTTCACATCAAATGACGTGGATATTTGGGAATTAGAATGAGCCCTGGATGTTGTTGATGACCCCTGAACTCCTTTGGAGGTGCCCAGTAATGGTCTTTACACACCTCAGGGTGCGTGCTCCTCCCCAGCCAGTCCAGGGCCCCACAGCCCCTGATGCCCCTGCCGCCCCCGCAGCCCTGACTGCCGACGCCCCGCTGGAGCCGGCAGAGGCTGCTGGGCTGGCTGAAAACCCTAGTTGGAGGACACCTGTTCCTAGTCCCTACTGCAGCTGTAACTCGGGTCTTTGTGGCTCCATCTTACTTTGCCGGACACCCGCACTGCCGGGGTCCCGCCCCTCCTCCCGCAGCACCTGCAGCACATGCCCAAAGAATGGGTGGGCTGGGGGGCCCGGACAAGCCCCCTCAATGTTGTCGCTCAGGGGCCACAGCTGCCTGGGTGCCTGGCACGCGCTCGGACACCCGCGGAGTGGGGGCCAGGCCCCCGGAGGCACCCTGGCCTGCGTCCACACCTGGCCCCCTTTCTCGCAGCGGGAAGCCCCTCCGATCGTTTTTTTCCTCTTATTTGAAGTCGTTGCCGGATGTGAGGAAAAAATTGCTTTCGTTGCCTGAAAAGCCCAACAAAGAAGAAAACCCCGAAATCGTGGTTTGGAGAGAATTTGACAGGCAGGTATTCCTTTTGGCCCTGCGCTGGCCAGGGTGTGGCTGCATGCGTGGGCGTGTGCGCGGCCCCGTGGCGGTGGGATTCACTCAGACACACACCTGTCGGCTGTTGGGGAATTGTCGGTGTCGTCCCGTGGGGAGTGGTGTTCCCTCGGGGTGGGTGCAAGGAAAGGGAACGTTCACAACGAAGGTGTTCTCACCGGACTTCACGGTCTTTGCTCTCAGGTCGAAACTCTACACTGCGGACCTGGAGTCGGGGCTGCATTACCTCCTGAGGGTGGAGCTGGCTGCCCACAAGTCCTTGGCGGGGGCCGAGCTGCGCACACTCAAGGACTTCGTCACTGTCCTTGCCAAGGTGTGCGGCGGGGGGCCCAGGAGGCCGCCCTGGGGGATCTGCGGGGAACAGAGCCGACCTCAGTTGGATGACCACTCTGTCTCCAGCGGCACAGGCCTGTGCTGGCCTTTGTCCCCACTCACCACGTGCCTATCAGGCGCCCACCCAATTCTGAGCCCCGGGGATGGCAGAGCACAAGTCGCTGCTTGCCGGGTGACCGGACAAGGTGTCGAGGCAGGGCTGGGACCGTGACACGTCCAAAAGGGGGCATTTCTGGAGGGCCAGAGGGGGAGGAGGCCGCCCAGTAGCCAGCCCTGTGCAGTGTGCCCAGTTGGCTGGGACCCGGGGCAGCGGCATCCCTACCTTCACTGGTGGGCAGAGCGGTGGTGGCTCGCGGGTCAGCGTCGGTCAGGAGATGGGCTGTCGGGTTACCTTTCTGCCAGGAACTCTTAGCTCTGGGGCCAAGAATCCAAGGCTCACTATTTCCTTGGGCCAGAGCAGCAGAAGCAGGAGGTCATCCCTCTTCCCTAGGGGGTGCCTGGGGCCCCTCTGCACTCTCACCTTGGGGAAGACCTCGGTCACGGTGGCCTGAGGACAGAGCCCTTTGCCCCTGCATCTGGCACCACATCCGTGCTTGTTGTCTCTAAGATAAGCTTTGTTCTATTTTTTTTTTTTAAAGATTTTATTTATTTATTTGAGAGAGAGAGAGAATGAGAGAGAGAGAGTACGAGAGGGAAGAGGGTCAGAGGGAGAAGCAGACTCCCTGCTGAGCAGGGAGCCCGATGTGGGACTCGATCCCGGGACTCCAGGACCACGACCTGAGCCGAAGGCAGTCGCTTAACCAACTGAGCCACCCAGGCGCCCGATAAGCTTTGTTCTAAAGAACTTCTCTTGGGGCGCCTGGCTGACTCTGTTGGTGGAGCCTGGGGCTCTTGATCTTGAGGTTGTGGGTTCGAGCCCCGCATTGGGCATAGAGATGACTTAAAATCTTAAAAATAAGTAACTTCTCTTGCATCAGGTAAGGGGCTTGATACGGTGATTCCTGTTCAACACTTCAATAGTACGTTGTACACTTGTGTCCTGTGACTTTTGAAGTGGAAGGAAGGAGGCCGAACTCGGAGTGATGAGTCACGTGATACATTTCCAATGAAGAAAGGGGGTTGTGTAGACCGGTGTGTGCCCGTTGTGTGGGTCCCAGCTCAGAGCCCCGCAGCCCTCCCTCCTCTGCCTTCAGTGAATCAGAGGCGTGCTCTCCTCGCTCAGCTCTTCCTCGTCCTCTACCTGAGCTGGGCGGAGAGCTCTGTAGGTCAAGGTGACTGTAAATTATTCTTAGCAGTTTTTCTATAGCTTGGCCGAAACTGGAAGTTGGATGCTGGCACGTCGGGACACGGGGTCCTACGGCATTGAGCTGTGCTGTCCCCGCCACAGCAGGCTTCTGCTCCTGTTTCTGAGCTCTGGGCGGCATCAAGGACAAGTCCCGTGGAGAAGGGCCACGCCCCCCCCATTGCCGAGCCGGTGCCTCTCCGGGCTCCGAGGGGCCGCAGCTGCGTGGCCGGCCCAGACATTTAGCTAACCAGCAGATTACACACTTCTGCATAAAAGCCTCAGTGGGATGCGCCTTCTCTACAGGGTTGTGCAGTCAGACAGCAGAGCGGGGCGGGAGGGGGCGGGGGGGTGGGCGGAGGGAGCTCTGAGTGCAGTAGGCAGGATCGGCGTGCGTTACCTCCGGGCGCCGAATAGCTAAGTAGGCGGTGCTTTCAGAAAGGACTGCAGAGCCCTTGACAATGTGATGAATAAGGCACATCGTGGCCATGCCGTCTGTCACTGGGAAGCCGTCGCTGGCTGAGCGCCGAGCCGGTGGCTGAGGTGCAGGAGGCTGTGCGAGCCAGGGGCTTGCTGCAGCTCCTCCCGTCCCCCTACACTGCTCTGGACAGACCCCTCACCCCAGTACCAGGGGAGACCCCTGGGACCTCTCCCACCCTGACCCGGTAGGTCCGTGTCAGGCAGACCCCACCTCGCCTAGGTCCCCAGGGACGGCTCTGCCGTGGGTGGCATTTCCCCAAATGGTCTCCAAGCGTGGGTCCTTCCTTGCTTAGCTGTTCCCCGGCCGGGCGCCGGTCAAGAAGCTGCTAGAGACGCTGCAGGAGTGGCTGGCCAACCTTCCCCTGGACAGGATCCCCTACAACGCCGTCCTCGACCTGGTCAACAACAAGATGCGGGTGAGCCTGCCCCCCGACCCCTCGTGCGCCGCTGTGTCCTCGGTATAGCCCTCCTGCTTTCCCTCCTGCTCGGGGACCTGACCCGGCCTGCCATCACTGCACGCGTCTCGTGTGCGGAGCTGCGCATGGCCCTCCGCGCTGCGCCCTGTGGTTTCCACCGTCTCTGTTGCTGTGACACTCCCTGCGCATGCCTCGTCTGCCGAGGCCATGGGAGGCGTGCCGTGACACGGAGCGGGCGGGGTGGCGCTCGGGCTTTTGTGTTACTTAAATTTGTAGTAAACTCACAAATCTTACACCAAAAAGGCTAATAAAACTGTGTGCTCAATGAGAAGCATGGAGGCCCTGCTGGAGGCCCCCCAGGCCAGGTCTCCTTCCTCCTGCCCGAGCTCTCGGCGTCCTCCAGTCAGGACGCTTTCGTGGGCAGTGTGCAAGCCTGTGCGCGCGCACACACACATCAGGCACACATCGGGCGCTCCAACAGGTGCGTTGTGCCAGCAGTACAGAGACACGTGCTGGGCGCTTACCTTGACCTCACCCTGACCTTCCCCCAAGCTGGAGGCCAGCACAGGCTCCTCGGTTACAGGGTTTGTCTGCACGCACGTCCGTGTGGGAGCCGTGCACTTTAGGCCCTGTGGACAAGCCCTGTGCTGGCCAGCCTGCCGGGAGACAGAGCATGGACGTAGGCGTGGTTGGGAGCACCTGCTTGGCTACAGACATGTGGCCCCTGAGCTGTTGGGGCCTCAGCTCACCACCGATGCAGTGGTGGTCCGCTCCTGCCGTGGCTGAGAGTCGCTGGGCCGTTGAGCTTTTTCACTCTTGCTCTTCCCCAGTAGGGTTGGTTTAATTGACCCTGATGCACGGGGCTGGGGTGTCCTTGATGCTTTAATAAAGCTCTCATTTATCCGGGTACACACAAACCCTTCCCTCCCTGGCAGGGGGAGGGGACAGGCGTGGGCCGCGTCCCCCTATTTTGAGAACTGCTTTAGTAAAACAGAGACCCTGTTCTCTCCTTTGTTTGGTATTGAATTTACATACACGCGTAGTAAGATGTGCAGTGACAAAGTTTTGATAAGTGTACACTCTGTGTAACCAGCAACCAATAAAGATAGAGGACGTTCATCAGCTATTTTAACAATTCAATTATCCTTTATTCTCTCCCTCGCCCCACCCCCAGATTTCTGGAATATTCCTTATTAATCATACGAAGTGGGTTGGATGTCAAGGAAGCCGACCAGAGTTCAGGGGTTACACATGTTCTCTCTGGAAATTGTTCCACACTCTGACCGTTGAAGCTGGGACCCATCCAGAGGCGCTGGACGGCACAGGTAAACTGTCCCCGCGTGGGCCCAGGGCATGCCAAGCCCACCTGCCACGCTCACCGTGTGGGGCCTGCCAGGTGCCGTGAGCAGCTGTGTGGGAGGGGACATGTCACCAGGGCTGCCCTGGGGGGCCCTGGCCAAGGAGTGTGGAGGGAAGCATCTTTCTTACATGGTGCTGGGAGCTTTGGAGCTCACCAGCCTGTGCGTGGCTGACCTGCAGGGGCTGAGTCACAGAACGAGGGCACACTCTCGAGGAGTTCTTCTTTCTTTCAAAAGCGTGAGCACAAGTGAAGCGTATTCGGAGATGTCTGTTACCTGTTGTTGCAAAACGAATAACCCTACAGCTTAGCTTTCTCTCAAAGTATCTGTGGGCCAGGGACTCAGATGGGGCTGGACTGGGGTCCCCGGCTGCTGGTCTCTCACGAGCCTGCGGGCCCAGTGTCGGCCAAGGCTGGGGTCTCATCGGAAGTCTGCACTGGGAAGAGCCCCCTCCCTGACCACTCGTGGGGTGGTGGCGGGGTTCGCGGCCTTGCCGGCTGTTGGCCAGTGGCACGCTCAGTTCCTCACCGTGGGCGTGTCCTCGGTGTGGTGCTGCTCACTTCCGCTGTGGCCCCGGTCAGCCGGGCGCGGCCAGCCCGGCCTGCTGGGGGCAGGGCCGAGCCAGCCGAGCTAGGCGGAGCTGCGGCCTGGGCCTTCACAGAGTCCACCCGCACAAGAGGTTTTTTAAAAGCTACAAAAGATTAGGTTGGCTTTAAGAGTTTTAATTATCAGGAAATCACTAAAGCAGAATTGTCATCTTTTGTGTCCTACACAGGCGGCGAAAACCATTCTGGGTGTTTATACATTTCCGACTCTGTTGTATGTGCACTTCTGCTGTGAAGCTGGCCTCTGGCCGCCAGGGGTGGATTGCCTACCTTTTATTTATTTTTTAATTTATTTTTTGTTTTTAAAGATTTTATTTTTTTATTTGATAGGGAGAGCGCATGAGCAGGGGGAGGGGCAGAGGCAGAGGGAGAAGCAGGTTTCCCGCTGAGCAGGAGCCCGATGTGGGACTTGGTCCCAGGACCCTGGGATCATGACCTGAGCCGAAGGCAGACGCTTAACTGACTGAGCCACCCAGGCGCCCTGACCGCCTGCCTTTTAGTTGCCACTTCAAGTGGGCAGCTGCAGGGATTATTCTACTGAGTAAAGGCAGGCACTCCCACAGTCCCAAAATCCTTTCCAGCAAGACTGAAGTCTGCGGTACCTCTGCTACATAAACCAAACCAAACGCTGGGGCTTGAAAGACCCAGTTTTATACGCACAGGATTCAGTGCAGGCGACCCCACCGGGCGGTGGGAGACCCAGAAGGCGGGAAGCCTGCGGGGTGAGCCCAGCTCCCCACGGCCCCACGCTTGCTCAGGAAGGACCTTGAGGAGGAGCCAGCCGGCACACGGCATCTTGTGGCTCGGCCTGTTGGTCAAATGGGCCTTGCCCAACCCAGATCCATGGTGGGGACAAAGTGTCAGCCTGGCGCTGGGAGAATCAGCAAAGTCACGCTGCAGGGGGCACGTGCCATCTGTGGAAATCGTCACAACCCCGGCTCTCCTCGGGGTGACGTGGATGTCCATGTCTCGGGGACCCTGTGGGGGGTGCGCTCCGCTGAGGGGCCGGTCAGGGGGCCCTGCAGGGGCTCACAGGGCACGCCGTCAGGAAGATGTCCGGGGCGCAGGCCGGAGCCATGTCCGAGGAGTGTGTCTCATGCCCAGAGAACTGGGTCACGTGGACACCGCTGGATTAGGTCTTGGAAGGTTTTTCCTCTCCTTAGTGCGTGTTTAAACCCCATCGACTAAAAAGCCGTCGCGTCCTCTAATCCACAGGTAGGGGTTTATGGTTCTTGTCCACTCGAAAGATTAGGGCGGCCGGGCTGCAGCGGTTTGGTGGGGAGAGACAAGGAGGATTACCCGGGGACGCATGGCAGCTGGTGGCAGGGAGGGGAGGGCCAGGAGCCTCGGGAGGGCCGGCTGGCTGCATGTCCTCACTGTGTGCGCAGCCCCGCGCTGCCCGGCGCCCTCGGAGACGCGCCGAGCTGAGGCAACGGTGGCCGTCCGCTCAGCTGGGGCTTCCTCCAGCCCCGGTGAGGCCCGCCAAGGTCAGTGACCGGTGCAGGGCCCTGGCCCTCCACAAGCGGAACCACAGCAGCGAAGAAGGAGATCGCCCGCGAGGGCCTGCTCTTGATAAGACGGATTCAGTCTCAAAAGCACGTCTTTTTTTTCCAATTATTTTGCTGTGTTTCTTTTAATGCTGACATTTAATCTGCTTTAATCTCACGGTCTCTCGCTTGTTGGCTCAATCCCCCGCATTAGCTGTCTGAAGGGAGCTGCCGGCGCCAGCCCCATGCCCGCCCCCCCTTTTGCTGTTCTCAGGGGTCTTCATTTTAGCGACATGGTGGCTGCTTCCTTCTCCTGTTTGGGGCTGTTTCCTCGAACGATTGTGTTCTCCGCATTCACAGTGTCTACACAGGCTGCATGTCCTGGTGACCTGTGCCCACACATACGGGGCACATGGTCCGCATGGCTGGGCGATGCCAGAGTTGCCGCTCATGGAGAGGGTTAACCTCTCTAGAGGAGGTAGGTCCTCGCCGGCCTGCTGCCCTCTCGTTCCTGGAAGGAGCCCTGGTGTCTCGCTGCCTCTGGCTGGTTTTCCCAGGTATTTGTGCCCACCCTGGAGTGCTGCGCCCGGATGCGGGCAATGGGCGTGCTCTCCGGGGACACAGTGCCACCCCTTCTGGATGCAGTGGGCATCTGGGGCATGCTGCTTTCTCCCTGTGTCCTTCCCGTGCAGACAAGCAGGGCTGTCCCGCGTGTGCCGGCTCAGGCACCTGGCCCGTTCCTGGCTCCCGACACCAGCGCCAGCCCCGGGGCCCTCGGACACGCTCCCACAGTGCTGATGCTGTCTGCCCCCATCCCTCTGCAGGTTTGGAGGATGACCCCCAGGCAGTGCTGCAGACCATCAGGAGGTACATTCACACCTTCTTCGGCTGTAAGGAGTGCAGTGAGCATTTTGAGGAGATGGCTAAAGAATCCATGGATTCCGTGAAGACCGCAGACCAAGCGATTCTCTGGCTTTGGAAAAAACACAACTTAGTCAACAACCGCCTGGCTGGTAAGCAGCAGCGCCCTGGGGCAGCCAAGCCTGGGTCCAGGGGGCCAGCGCCGTGGGGGTGGGGGTGTGTAGACGGGCGCTGGCAGAGTGGGCCTGTGGGTGGCCGCCCGGAGGGTTGCCAAGAACGCAGCCCCGCCAGGCCCCCGCGGACGTTTGACAGGAGAGACTGGGGTAGAATCAGCCTCCAGGAGGGAGTTGGTGGCGCTGCGGTCTGCTCTCAGTAAACCAAATCCCACAAAGTCGTCTTGTTTAAAAACCAGATAGGGCACGTCTGTCGCCTCAGAGTTAATTCAAACTGGTCCTAAATCACTGGCAGATTGAAATTAGGCTTAAAAATAATTCTGCTGATGGATAAATCTTAATAGAGATGAGTCAAAAAAAACCACTAAACTATTGGTTTTTATTTAATCCACTGTATTAGGAAACATAGTACAACTCATGCACTAAAGAAAATTGGGTTTTTTTTTTTTTTTGCCCCCAGAGCTGCTGCGGCTCAGCTCGCGTGGCCATGGCACCTCTGCTTGCCGGGGGTTCGTCCGTGGCTGTCCGCTTCCACTGCGGCCCTAGTTCCGAGACCCTCCACCTCTGGGTGTGCACCCCCCTGCCCCCACCGCACCCCGCACCCACGGGGTTATCCCGGCAGCTCCCGGCTCCGGCACCGCTGGACAAGACTCCCCCAGGCGGTCCCGGCTCAGGAGCCCCGCGTGCCCCCCTCAGTCTTGCACTGCAACAGAAAGGGGCTTTCAGCGGCCCGAGCCATTGTGTCCCTCCTTCGATTCTCTGCCCCCCAGGCCCACCCCCGGCCTCTGGATGGAGGCCGCAGAGACCTGCCCTGGGCCTTGCTCTGTCTGTGGTGTGTGGCACCAGCCCCGGCAGCTGCTTCTCGGTCACCGCGTGGGCACATCCACATTTTGCCAGGCGCAGACCCTGGGGGGTGGTGCCTGGGCATCGGGTGCCACCCTGCCCTCCCGGCTGTGTGCCCATGGGCCAGAGGACAGCGTCCCCACTGGTTCACACCCATCAGACACGTGGTTTTGTCCCCGTCTACTCGTAGAAGCACTTTCAGGGTGGCAGGGCACCCCAAGTCGTGTCGGAGGACTCTGTGCCCAGAACCCCTGTGGTCCTCGTGTCTAGTGGCAGAGAGCCGGAGCTGGGGGGCCGGGCGGGTGTCGCTCACACGGGTGTGAGAGAAGCGGAAGTGAGCAGGGCAGGCTGTGCGGGCACGTGCCCGGAGCGGGCGGCCGGGGGCTCCCCAGGCTGGTGCTCCATTGGCTCCGTCATCCAGAGGAGCGAACACACTGATGCAGGGGGACAGGAGAAGTATCAGCCGTGACCTCCATGCCTGGCCGGTGGGGGCCATGACGGAACAGCCTTTGTGACTGGACGTTGAGCAGGAAGGAGTGTAACCTTCAACGTGTGGGTGCTCTGGATCCGAGCCCGCGTGTGCGGAGCTGATGGCACGTCCGGCGCTGACCCGCCGGGCAGCTCTTGGAGTGCCTGGGGGGATCGGGGTTGTTGCGAGGAGCGGTCGTGCTGGTCCAGTTGACGCCGTGCGGTGTGGTTCGCGTGTGCGAGACTGTGCCGCCTCACTGCTGCCTCTGGAAGCAGGACGGGCGCTGGCTTTGCATGGGTTCCCACGGCAGGTCTCACTCCCAGGACCGTTTCTAGAGTTCGGGATGAGATTTGGGGGTCTGGGAAGGGCCCACACAAGCCCGAAGTGCTGTGGAATCGTCTGGACAGCCAGCCTCATGGGGTTTGTGTGGCTGTGGACCTCAGATGCACCTTAAGTGGGGAGAGGACAAGCAAGGGTGGGGGCACGTCAAGCAGGGGGCCTCAGGGTCACAGGGAGGCAGAGTAGCTGCAGGTGGGAACGGGGTCTGGCCAGGGGGATGGCACCATCCGCGTGTGGACCCTTGCCTTGTCGTGGCCACGGGGCCCTGCCAGAGATGCCAGGGAAGAAACATTTATGTGGGGGGCTGGGGGGACGGGCATCCATGCAGGAGGGACTGGCATGAGCCCGGGAGCACTGGGAGGTCACGGTGCAGGTGAGGGGACAGGGGAGGTGTCCGGGGGGGAATGGGGCGGTCAGGTCACCAGAGACCCCTCCACTGTTACTCTCCCTCCCCATCCCAGGCCATCTGAGCGAGGACCCCAAGTTTCCGAAGGTTCCGTGGCCCGCCCCGGACCTCTGCCCGGCCTGCCACGAAGAGATCAAGGGCCTGCACAGCTGGAACGAGGGTCAGGTGCTCCTGTTCTTAAAGCGGCACTACAGCAGCGACAATCTCGTGGATGTGTATGCGGCGGACCCGGGAGATGCCAGCGAAGGAGGCGGCCCACCCCAGGGCGGGGAGCGGCAGCGAGGCCTCGCCTCCCCAGAGAAGCCTCAGGGAGAACAGCATGCCAAGAGTCTCCGTCCACCCAGCATGCTGCCTCCCAGAGCCCGCCTGCCAGACGGGCCGCAGCTCAGCCTGGATGGGAGACTGCAGAGCGCTGGCGGGGCTGAGGGCCGCAGGGAGGCGGAGGCGGCCGTGCCCTTTCTGGGGATGGGCTTCTCCAGCCTGGACATGAGCCTCTGCGTCTTGCTGTACGTGGCCTCTTCCTTGTTTCTCATGGTGATGTACTTTTTCTTCCGAGTGCGGTCCAAGCGATGGAAGGTCCGACATCACCGGCCGTCGGTGTAGACCCAGGTGGGGTCACAGAAGCGCCTTTGGGAAAACAGCCCCACCGTACCACCTGCAGCTTTAATAAAAGATCAGGGATTTTATAAACACGTCAGACCCAGTTTCACACCCACTGGCGTCTGGGCTCCCAAGTCCTCGTTGGACAAGCAGTCTTCCTGTGGGGGGCAAGCCAGTCTTCGTCGTGGGACCACCCGCTCTCCTGGTGTACTCCCTGGACGCCTTGATAGATCCAATGGCAAAAAGATGTCTGTATTTTTACTCTTCTCGGTCTAAAAAAATGAGTGGGAGTCCCAGCTAAACGGACAGAACTTTTCCCGCCTGCCTTCATCCTGAGTTTCTAGATGCATGTCGCGTTCTGCAAGCCTGGCTCGGGATTCCGAGAACAGTGGAGCCCTTGCGCGCACTGGGAGGGCACCGGGCGATTGTGCGCAGCCAGCCTTGGCCCAGCAGAGCTGGAGCGCGGCCCCCAGCCCACCTCACTCCCTGGCCGCGCCTCGAAGCCAGTCTGGTTCTCAGAGATTCATTTGTGTTTGTGCTTTTCAGCTGCTTGGTTGTTTCTGCTGAAGCAAGAGAGCATCCCCGTGGTGCCGAAGCGGCTCAGAACCAAAGGACGACCCCTCCGTCACCTCCGTGCTCTGCAGGCCGCTTTCACTCCAGATGCTGAGTCTGCAGCAGGAGGGAGGGGAGAGGAGGGTCTGCGGCTTTGCTGCATTGCAAGGAACCCCACTGTTGAGCCATGTGGGGGGCCGTGTTTGTGGGGGAGGGGACAAGATGGTGTGGCCGAGGCCGTGCCTCGTGAATCTGGTGGCAGGAGAGCGCTCGGTGACCACGCGCCGTCCCAAGTGGCAGGA